ATATATATATATATATCTTGGCTAACCAGGCCCTCCGCATCTCAAAACCCTTCCTTTCTCTTCCCTTTTTGTGTCCTTTACTTCTCCTTTATTCCCCATCTCTATCCACAAATTTCCCAGTTTCTAAAGAAACCTCTCAAAATTCCAAGGCCCATCAGTCCTATAAATTAAAGCAAGACCCTTTTACAAAACCTCCTCAAATCAAAACAAAAACCTCTTTCCCTCTCCCCCCTCAAAAAAAAAAAAAAAAAAAACTAAAGGCCACCCCTCTCTCAATCTTTACAAAAAGAATACCAAGATGAAGGAATATTGGGGCTCCTTGGCCTCAGTACTTGGTGTTTTGGCCTTTTGTCAAAGTCTCCTTCAAGTATTGTTTCCACCAGAACTCCGGTTTGCAGCACTCAAGCTCTTCAACCGGATCTTTAACGTATTCAATTCTTATTGCTACTTTGACATCACAGAAATTGATGGAGTTAACACCAACGAGCTTTACAACGCAGTCCAGCTCTATCTGAGTTCCTCTGTCTCCATCTCTGGTAGCCGTTTGAGCCTCACTCGTGCTCTCAATTCAAGTGCCATAACTTTTGGCCTAACAAACAATGACACACTCTTTGACACCTTCAATGGTGTCAATGTCCTTTGGGAACATATCGTGACTCAAAGGCAAGCACAGACATTTTCCTGGCGTCCAATGCCTGATGAGAAGAGAGGTTTCACTCTACGTATCAAGAAAAAGGACAAGCCTTTGATTCTTGATTCTTATCTTGATTACATTATGGAGAAAGCCAATGATATAAGGAGGAAAAATGAGGACAGGCTTTTGTATACTAATTCAAGAGGTGGGTCTTTGGATTCAAGAGGGCATCCTTGGGAGTCAGTACCATTTAAGCATCCAAGTACTTTTGAAACTCTGGCTATGGACCCTGCCAAGAAAGGTGAGATCATGGAAGATTTGAAAGATTTTGCAAATGGTCAATCTTTTTATCAAAAGACTGGAAGAGCTTGGAAGAGAGGTTATTTGCTCTATGGACCTCCTGGTACTGGTAAATCTAGCATGATTGCTGCTATGGCTAATTATCTTGGTTACGATATCTATGATCTTGAATTGACTGAGGTACACAATAACTCTGAACTTAGAAAACTTTTGATGAAAACAAGCTCAAAATCTATCATTGTTATTGAGGATATTGATTGTTCTATTAATTTGAGTAATAGGAAGAAGGGTACTGCTAATAATAGTTCAATTGGGAGGAGTTACTGTGACCCAGAAATGCGATCTGGGCCCGGTGCTGGTACTGGTGATGAAGGGGGGAATTCAATAACTTTATCTGGGTTATTGAATTTTACTGATGGTTTATGGTCGTGTTGTGGGAGTGAGAGGATATTTGTATTCACTACAAACCACGTTGACAAACTTGATCCTGCATTGCTAAGGAGTGGTAGGATGGACATGCATGTTTTCATGAGTTACTGTTCATTTCCTGCATTGAAGATTTTGTTGAAGAATTATTTGGGACGTGACGAGAGTGACTTGGATGAAGGGGTCTTGAAGGAATTGGGAGAGGTTATTGATAAGGCAGAGATGACTCCTGCTGATATCAGTGAGTTATTGATCAAGAACAGGAGAAACAAGGACAAGGCAGTGATTGAATTGTTGGAGGCACTGAAGGAGAGGGCAGAGAGGAAATCGAAGAGTGGAGAATGTGTTAGAGAGAAGAATTTGAATGACGTGGAAGAGGAAGAGCAAGAGAAGAGAGCCTTGGAGAGTCCTAAAGAAGGTTGTGCCTTGGACGAGAGCTGCAAGAAAGATGAGAAGGATGAAGAAAAGAAGATTAAATGATATAGAAATGAAAGGTTTTTGTTTTTTTCTTCTTTTGTTGCTGCTGCTGCTGCTGCAGGACGGTAAAGATGAAAAGGATATTGGTCTCTGAAGTATTATTATATCTTCAAATTTTGTTGGTGCACAAGCATAAGCCTTGCGGTTGGTTGCTGTGAAGATTGGAAGTGAATCTGTACTGGATAATAATATTAGGTCTCCAATTTTTTTCAATGTTTAATATAATTATCTATCTTAATGTTAATTAAATAATGAAACTAGTACCATATGATCAACAGATAAGCTTATTTGCATATGGTGTGGTGGCTTGGCCATGTGGGATTTTCTTATTTCTTTACAAGGGTCTAGAATGACAGTCTTTCCTTCTCATTCTCTGCAATCCCCCACTGCACATGCTCCACCATTACAGTTTTCGATTAGGGAATTGCAGCTTAGCAATGGAATGAGCCTGTGATCAATTACTATCGAGGGAGCACATGGGAAGGATCCACGTTATTCCTTCTTCATTTATTTTGTATTTTCTTTACTGGGTTTTTTCTCTTAAATATTCAGGGGAGATTTGTGACAGCAACCGGCCTCGCAGTGGCCGGAGTTATCAATTGCTAACTGAATGAATTGAAGCGATGCATGAGAAGCAAGACGGGAAAGTCAAACATGATGGTTCGGAAATGAAAGTGCTTCTCGTGACTAGGAGTTAGGTAGCAGAGCTTGACAAATTGTCATGTAAACCCCCATTCATTATTGTTTATTATTGTTTTTGCAAGACAAGAATAAAGGCATTTTGTCAATTCGAATGTCGCCCTTGAAATTATGCAAAGAAGGAGACGTAGTTCCCTCCTTATCCTTGCAATGGACGAATGCATTACTATTCATATGGTCAAAAATGGGGACCAATCTATTATTGAGTACATATGTTCACAAGCTAATCTGAAATAATTCAACGTTATATTGTAAAAATCTTAAGCATAAGAGCGTCCTTTTCAATTCTTTCTTTATGTCAAATGAATGGATTTCTTTTGTCTCACTTTCCCACGAGTTTTCAAAAGGATGATGGTAAAAGAACAAAATGATGCATGGGTTTATGTTTACAGCATTTTTTTAAGAACCAATTTAAGGACGGGGAACAACAACCAAGCAACCACCTTGGGACGTAATCAAGAAAAGTTTTCATAATCTTCTCGAGTTCTTCCTTAAAATTTGTTGAAGTGGGTACTTTCCTTTGTCATTTTCTAATTATGAAATAGTAACAATTCTAATCTTGAAGTGACATGGCTTGTGGATAGGATTTAAGGGGCGTTTTAGGAAAAACAAACATGAAAAGGGCAAACAATTGAACAAGCTCAAGATTTCATGTTGGTAAAAGGGAGGATTGATTAGCTAAAGTAACTAAAAAGTCTACATTCACAATGAGAAAGAGGAGGACATTTTTTGTGTGCCTGTTTGTTTGATTTCGAGACTGAGTTGGAAAGGCATCTGGGTGTCAAGCCTATGCACAGATCTTGGCCTCCGCGGTGACAAGTGACAATTTGCTCTCTAATATTAAAATATTTCGATATTGTACATGGAAAACATGCCCTTTTGTGAAGGAAAAGGGTGGGACGATAGCTGGCAGGGGAAGCCAATAGTACATCATCTCTCTCATTTTTTTACTTTATATTCCCTTCAAAAAGTAGGGTGGAGTAGAGGTGGATTCGCAAATAAGACAGCAGTAACAACGGCAAGCACAAAGATTTGTTGTCTTGAGGCATTTATGCAAGCACTGCTTCAACACGGTAACATGATGAGTCTCACATGAGAGCCTTCGTCTTTAGAGTGTAGAGAAAGGTTTCTTTCTTAGGTATGGGCAATGCTTTAACTGCACGTTCTAATACAAGATGCTGGAAGGATTTAAAAGTAGCATATGGATTCCCATTTCCTCGAAGCTTTTTTATGCCAGACCTGTTATAGGTTAGTAATTATACATACTTTCCTAAAAATATTATTAATTATATATATATACTTTCCTAAAAATCTCTCCCCTACAGCTTGATTAATTAATCTGACTAGATACTAGGAGGATATGGAAAGTGGAGAGATTCTAGTCTAGATCTTAGTTTCCCAAAATGAGAAACATTTTTTTAGCAATCTTGATTGGAATTTTTTGAGCTAAAAAAATGTTTTTATTTAATATATGTGCAAATAAAAGAAGAAATCCAAGGATTTTTGCCACCCCTCCAATCCCAGTACATGTTTTTTCATGACTACAATATTCAAATGATCACAAGCAAGCTAGCAGCAGCTCTTAATTAATATGATCTTCTCTTGCGCCCTTGGTTGAAAAGTAACAAAGCTATTTACTTTCATGTTTTTGATATCCAGTCATAATCAGATATATACCCATGAAATCCCATGTAGCTTTATCAATCGTTCAAGTTAGTCTCCTCATGAAATGTAACATCTATTCTAGATTTTTGTATCCATTGTTCAAATCACATGATTTCATCCACTTGTTTGGAGAGAAAAAAAAGAAAAAAAAACCCTAAAGACCAAAGATGTTAGAAGAATCCATACACACCGAAGAAAGTATCATGAACAACATGCAATCTTCACTTTTGAAATTCAAAAGACAACTGAGAAAGAATCGATTAAGATTAGCGTGAAACCACAAACCATCCATTTACTAGGGTGAGTAAGAAGGCATCAGGGAATTACTGTATGGTATGGTACTGTTGGTGAAAGTAACGAAGATGCAGATCAATTATATACGCGGCCGTGCTTAAGCTGTTAATTGGAGTCCGTAGCTAGCTAGGGACTTCCTTGCTGGATATTAGCCTACAAAATTTGTGGCCCTGAGCATGGAGTGGAAGGAATATAGTTATGTGACAGTTCTTCAGGAAACAAGGGGGATGCATTTACGAAGGTGGACCATTGATAGTTTGGAGCTTGGGTTCTGTATCTCCTCACTGTTGATTCTTCAACCATTTTGCAGGTCTAGCCTCTTGGCATTTTGTGACTACCCATACCTTTAGATCAGGAATCATTTTTATATTGAACCAAAATGTTTCTAGTCTCCACCTCAATTATAACAAGCAACATTTCATGCATACACAAAAGAAAATAAGGGAACAGAAAAAGGAATGAAATTATGAATTGGCATGCCCACAGACAACGAAGCAGGTATATATTTGAGATAGCTCAGCTCCAATCCACCACCCATCACTGATCGCAATCCATGAGTTGAGTCTTTATGTTTATAAAGTCTACCTTCATTGGCGAGAAAATACAGCAACTTTTATTCTTATGGTTTCCCATTGAAGCGTACATATGCCCCACAGAGAGAAAAAATTGACTGGTAAGGTTGGCTTTCTCTACCAAACAATTCAAGTCTAGTATTGCTGCCTAATTGCCGTGCTGCAATAAGCAAGAATAAATTCAACGGTGTTGCTTGGAGAATATTCTCAAGAGGAAAGAAAAGAGTAATTAGAGCCTAAAACACAACCATTTTAGTGTGAAAAACGGGACACAATTCATTAACCTCATGTATAAAGTTACTTTAAATTTTAATTCTGAAATAGGTAAAGTAATCACTATTACTAAACCTCGCTCGGTTAGGAGACTATATATATATATATATATATATATATATATATATATATATATATATATATATATATATATATATATATATATATATATATCACAATCGACATTGGGACAGTTTTAAAAATTTTATTTAATGGAAAAAATGAATTTCTGGCATCTTATTTTTTGATAGTGAATTAATATATATATATATATATCACAATCGACATCGCGAGAGTTTTAAAAATTTTATTTAACGGAAAAAATGAATTTCTGGTATCCTATTTTTTAATAGTAAATTATCTTTGTTTAAAGAGTCGTCATCTAATATTACGGTTATTAGGAACTCTAACTAGTCAACAAAGATTCTATGATCCGAGACTAGTTACATAAAAGAGAAGATATTATCACTCCTTAAACATTCTGTCTAAGGCAGACTGCATTGCTGATCTTTATCATTAATTGCTAACATTTTTTATTGGTTTATAATATGATTGTTTGTGTGTAATATTCCTGACTCTAGCGCCAGTGAATATTCAACTACAGATATTTCCAACTCTGACTTTAGTAAATATTACGTAGGTATCAAAATAAATAAATTTAAATCATTATTTTTTTTATTCCTGATTCTGGCGTCAGTGAATAAACAAATAAAATCAATTTATTTTTTACGCATGCGCATTATTTTTATTTTTTATGTAGCTAAATAAAAAAAAATAAAATAAAATACAATAAATTTACTTTACTATATTTTTATTCCTGACTCTAGCGTCAGTGAATATACCAAATAAATTTATTTTATATTATGTTATTTTTTTTTCATGCACTTTTATTTTATTTTTATATAACTTAATAAAATAAAATGAAATAAATTTGAATTGATATTTTTATTTTGACTCTGGCGTCAATGAATAAATAAATAAAATATAAAAATGATATTTTTATTTTGACTCTGGCGTCAATAAATAAATAAATAAAATATAAAAAATTTTACATACATAATTTTTATTATATATTTTTTATCTTTTTATTTTTGGGCTGGGCTGGGCTAGATTCAGCCTAGCATATATATTAGTGGCT